GGAGCCACTCCGACGGTAAACCGTGAATTTTAACGGTGACTTACCTCGTTTTCCGTCGACGACGACGTACCTCCGGCGTCCCCCGCATCTCCGGCCTGCCCTCCGGTCTCCCCCGGCGAGCCAGTACGGCTTCACATTTTTTACACCGAGATTATTTCAATTTTAGAAAAAGGGCATAATAGTCAAATCATATCATATTTGTGGGCTTTATATGGTAAATTGCGGGCGATGTTTAGCGTTTCACTTAACCAAATGTATCGATATGTATGTTTGTTGAACCTCTAACATTTTGTTAAGCAACTTTTTGCTCAACAATGGCGTTGTGGTTAGACTCAAATTCTGAACCCCAAACAGAGAATGAAAAGGCTGATTTAGCCGCCATTGCTGCCCTCAAAGTTTCTACTGCTCTTGAACTTAAGGTTCTTTCTCTTTCCCTCTTTCTACCCTTTTCTTCTTTACTATTAATTCTTGTAATTTCAATCTTTTATGTTGCAGATTGTTATTATGCTTCAATGATTGATGCTGTATATATTTATATGTTTTGTTGATTTATATTCTGAAATTAAATACCCAGTTACTATTAGTTCATTTTCAACTATTTCTCTAATTAATTTTATTCGTTTGTTTGGAACCTTAGATTTCTAATTATAATTGCCACTTCCTTTGTTCTGGCAATTGAAATAAAATAAAAAAAATAAAATAATAAACTCATTCAGATTACCATAAATGTTGAGATGGGAAAACTAAACTCATTCATTTGTGCTTGTTTTTATTTTTGTTGTACTAAAAATGTGAAAAATTGGCCTATAACGATTAATAAAATTTGGAAGAATCATTATTTTTATGCTATATTTTCTGTTGGGTGTTTTTTAGAATGAGGGCAATGAGTATGTTAAGAAGGGGAAGAAGCATTACAAGGATGCTATTGATTGTTACACTAGAGCTATAAATCAGAAGGGTTTAGGTGAATCAGAGACATCGGTTTTATTTGCGAATAGAGCCCATGTAAATCTTTTATTAGGAAATAACAGGCGTGCCCTCGAGGATGCTGAGCAAGCTGTTAAGCTTTCTCCGACGAATGTCAAGGTTTGCCACCCCCTTGTTTGTAGAAATGTTTGAAAAATGGGATTTGCTTGCTGAAGCTGATGACATTTTGTTTAATGTATTGGATTATAGGCTATATATCGTGCTGCTAAAGCTTCGTTTGCTTTAGATATGTTGAAAGAGGCTATAACATATTGTGAACAAGGACTTGAACTGTCCCCTGATAACGAAGACCTGAAAAAACTTGTGAAGCTAGCTAGTGGGAAATTGGCAGAACGTGAGAAGCATGAGGCTGAAGTTGCCAAAGCTTTGAGAGGCGCTAAGGTATACAGTTATACCTGTTGTTTTTTAATGAAGGGGTGTTTTCTGAATTGGCAGGTTCTAAATATCGAATGTGCAGGACCTTCTTTCTGCTTTTGAAGATAGAGGATTAAAAATTGGCAAAGCAATGTTTCGTGAACTTACTGGACTAAAGAAACCAGTTCTAGACAAGAGCAAGATTCTTCATTGGCCAGTGGTTCTTCTCTATCCAGAGGTTATGTCCAGTGACATAATTGAAGACTTTTGTGAGACAGACATGTTTTCATCCCACCTAGATATAATATCCTTTGTTGCTTTCTTATATTTGTTTGTTTTGTTTCTAGCTTTCTTTTGCATGTATGGAATGCATAATATAGATTTATGATATTGCGACTTTGTCAATTTGCTTGATATTTTCATGGTAAGTTCATCACATTCAAATTCATTACGGAGGTTTTGGAGGATAGGATCATTTATGGATACCATGATTTTTTTCCTTGATGTCTAATTGGGGATCACTCCAGTAATATACCTGATATTTCTACAGATGCTGCCATCAAATTTTTTATTTTTTATTTTTTTAATTTGCGAATCTTTTTCTTCTTTTTATGTGTTTGTAATTTCCTTAGCATAGAAACATGTTTTCAGAAGATTGTCCTCCACTGCCTTGGGATAAGGAAAATGAGTACACTCGTGAAAATATTGAATTATACTATGAGGTAATCTATCTTTCTTTCCCTTATTGCTTTCCGAAGGACATTACAATAGTTGCTTATCTAATTATTGGTGTCTTTTGTTTTGGCTGTTTATGGAAAATATGAACTGTATCTCTGGGCTCTGGTTACTCAGTGAACTTCACAATACTTACTGAAATGTTTTGACATTTTGACAGAGTTAATATCCACTGTAACATACAATTTTTCTAGAGAAATTTTTTGTTTTCCAATAAGGTACTCTAAAGTATCTTCCTGGACCTACCAGTATGTCACTGCATTTGATAGTTGGTACTATGTGGGTATTTTCTAGCTAAGGTTTTTGATTTGGCACCCTGTACTTAAGATGCTCTACAGAATGTTTGTAGAAGAATTGAATCTATGCAGGACTGCTACATAGCAACGTGACAACCAGTGGACTAACTTTACATAGATCTAAAATGGTTGGTCTTGCATACATGTCCTAGTATAGTAGCATCTGACTGTCTGTCTTATGGTTCTTTGGTCTGTGCATTTTCCAATGGTGAATTATGGATACCAATGACTGATGCTGTAAACCTTAGGTTGGCTCATCAGTTTGCTTGTCAAAGACACGCATTTTGCATTATCTTTTGGAAGGTAGTCCAGGTGCTGGTGCAGTGAGCATTGATGAAGAAAAAGATTCTTCAAATTATGAAAGCCCTACAGGTATTGTATAATTTACAGTTTATCATTTAATTATCAGAATAAAATAAAATTTTACACACTAGATCAGCGAATATGTCCATGCTTTTTCTATTCAATTAGTGCTAGAATACATAAGCTAAATCCTCGACATTTGTGCGTAGTTTATCATTGAACTTTGCTAACTAGGGATTGAAATTGCCTCTACGATTGTGCAATGGAGATATAGGTTGACTGTTTTGAGTTACTTTCTTTGAACTTCATGCATTTCCTTTCTAAAATGGTAATTCAGTTTTTTTGGGGGCTTCAGAATGTCACTGCAGCTAAGTGCTTTCTTTTCCTTTAAACATTCAATTTGTGTTTCTATATGATAAATCTCTCCAATGGTGAGAATTGAGGGAGTTTCTTTAGGAGAGAGAGTATTTTTGCAAAGGATAACTTAGCAACTAAAAAAAAAAAAGTTGCTAAGTTTAGATACTCAACTTTGAGTATCATTTGACAAATAGTGTGGCCCTTATCAATATTATAATATGTTTTGTAATTTATTTAAGTTTTAATTTAATTTAATTTTTTTTTAAAAAAACTTTATAATATGATTTGGTGGCCCATAAATTGAAAGTGACATTTAGTATACTTTAGAAAGTCTCACCATTGGAAAATTAGACTTTACATGAGTTGCTAAATTGAAAACTGTGTTGAGTATCACTATTGGAGGTAAAAAAACAACTCATTTTGTATTTCAATACTCAAAGTTCATTCTCACCATTGGAGATGGTCATTTTAGAAATGTTGTCCTTTTTAGCTTCGTAATTGTTGGGGTTTTGTAAGATACATAAAGCTTATGCCAGGATTGCCAGCCATCTTCAATTATGTGATTACTTGTCAGGTAAAGGCCCGTCCAGATGGGTAAAAGTCAACGAAAAAAGGACACTTCATGATGTGCTGAAGGAGCCAAATCTTGTTATTCCTGGCATACCAGGTACATTCCGTACCATTCTTCTACTTGCTAAATATATTTAAAACATGTGAATAAAAAGGGTCGGGTGGCAGTGTGTAAAAATCTGTATTTGAATGGCAAAGAGGGTGAGAAGGCAGGGTTGCTGCTAGCATGCTAGTTGTCTTAAAAATCATAACTTTGCATTTTCTTTTCCTTACCTTGGCTAATTCATTTTGGTACATGCAGTTTTTTACATAGTGTCTAAAAGCTCCACCTTCTACAACAAATTTAAATCTGGCAAATGGGCACTCCCTCAGGTGCCTGGTGAAGATACTGCCTGAGTTAGACTATTTTCCAGTTGATGTACTTGAGGTCTGAGGAGACAGTGGCTGCATTTCTTTTAGATGGACCATTACATCTAACTATTTAATTAGCAATGCTCAAGGAATCCTGTATGAAGATGAAGAAAGGCCAACCATGTACCAGTGCATATGGAGTTATGATTCTTAACTAGTTATTAGTCTTATTACTTTGGCGGTGCCATGGATCATTGTATGTAACATGAAAACACAATTTTCTTTTTAAATTTTAGAGATAAGTTATCAATTTTGATTTTGTTATTGTAGGTACTCAATGCCTTGGTAAGTTAGAGGTTCAGGTTCTAGCCTTGTTTTCTTTCATTAAGTGACTGCATATGGTAGTTTGTTGTTAAGTTTTGGAAGTTGTGTAAAACCCTCTCCAGTCTCCATGAAGGCTTCTCTACATGTACTCAGGAATGAATGAGATGCAACACCCGATTAAACGCAGAAAACCTGCATGTATATATGAATGGAATTTAGTGAGAAAAGTAACTGGCTAACTGAGTAAATCTGCTGATAGTATTTATGATCTATAACTGGACATTCTTCAGAGCATCAATGTGCTATATATATATCTATAAATTTCAGAGTATATCAGTTGGAAATTGCATCAGTAACAATCATTATCTAAAGCACAAATGGACTTGTATCTATAAATTTCAATCCTAATCCCTCCATTCGTAATATTGTATTTTCAATCCTAATCCCGCTATCGGGAATTATACACATTGTCCCAACCCCTCACAATTTAGCTACTTGTATAAAAATTTTGTATGATTTCATGAAAAAACTGAAAGACAATGATAGTTGAGCTATTTTATTAGTGACATTATACAAAAACTATTAATTTGGATGGTGTGTTCCTCAAAATTCATCAGAATTTCTTGGTTTAAAGCAGTAGCAAACCATCGTAACAATGTTAAGCAAAATCCATGAAGAGATAAATTTGTGTTACCCGTATCTGTAATCTTATAACATACGGAGTAATAAACTAGTACATGACCTTTTTTATTAAAGGTGATAGACTGATTGTATTGTTGCAAGAGTTATATTGTAACATCATGTTTCCATCCAGAAAGAGTAGCAAACCATGTGAAAGATTTAACATAATAATTTTGGAAAAATTGAGACATTTCTGGAGCAATCACCAACAATTTGTGTTTAGGTAGTATACAATCAAATGTTTATATCGCTCAAACAAGATGCCATTAAATAAATATGAAGATCAGCACCCTAGTGAAAAGGCGAAATCACAGTTCAGTGCTTTCCTCTTTTTTTGATGACAAGTACCTATCATAAGAAATGAATGGAAATTGTTAGATTGAAGTTGTTTCCTGGTCTTTACTTCAGCATAAAACACAAAAGAAGAGATGAATCAGCAGTTATCCCAGTGCCCAAACTATGAAGATGTATAAATCAAATAACAATTCATCCTCATCCCTAGCAAAAATCTGCCAAGTCGAGTAACTACCAGAGAAATATTGGAAGCTACCTAGTGCCCAAACTATGAAGATGTATAAATCAACTAACAATTCATCCTCATCCCTAGCAAAAATTTGCCAATGTCGAGTAAACTACCAGAGAAATATTGGAAGCTAATAGCAAAGGAAAAAAATTGAGTGCCTTCGTGGCATTACTTAAGCTTGTAGAAAGCTGAATATACAGATGACAAAAAGTTGTGACCTTGAAAATTCTTCCAAAAGTTCTAAGCTTAAGCATGATGACGAAAAAATATAGATGATATCGTCATAACTTTTTCAATCCCAGATTGTATATATGAGCATCATGACACAGAGAGAAGACTCATTCATTGAAGAAATGGGAGAAAGACAAATATGTGTTAGTCAATTGATACAAGCAATCCACTGTTCCTCTCTTATATGTATAAGATTAGACACATACAGACTAACTCTTCACATAGGCAAGCAGGAAGTACAGGATAGATCAAGCAACAGTGCCAACTAGTTGGTGAACATCAAGTTACATCACTAAGCTTTACAAAGGTAAGGGTCATTTGTCTGGACTGATCAATTCAACAAGTAGAGCCAGGTACCAGTTGGTAATTGTGTTCTACTTGCTTCTTGACCCCACAATATTCCGAGAACTTGCTAGCCCCAGAATCCAGCTGAACTGCTGAAGTGGATAGGCTAAAAGCCTTTAAGAGTTTAGACAGTGGCATTAATGGTTGAACATGAGATTTTCTGTAAATTGCAAGAAACTGTGAAACTCAAGTTTACAAAAGATATGCATAACACCACCCCCCTTCCAACCAGGCAACCACTAACTGATCTCATAGTGCACAAGGTAAAAAATCTCAAAATAGTGAATATACAGAACAATTGAATATGTGACAACAGAGATCCAGGGGAGGGGAGGTCTCTGGTCCATGGATCAAGTTTCATGAAATTGCAAGCAAACTAGAAATAAATTCAAATCCGGCACAAGGTAGCTTTTACTTCACAATCAGAAATTAAAGATCCAATAAAAATAAGTGTGCGGATGTAAGTTGATTAATCTCACCCTCCCTCAACCCCTTATAAGAGTGAACGTGAAATCAATAAACAAAGAATGACCTATAATTATTTGACAATGAAGGGCAGAATAGAGTATACATGGAATTTTAGAAGCTGTGGAAATTCAGAAACCTTACCCATTAGCCCTTGCTAGAGGTGTCCACCGTGCGAGTCGTGCGAGCTGGGTTAGGGTTAGGTGGGTCGCGGGTTGGGGTTTCATGACACACGGCACGACACACGTAGGGTAGGGTGGGCCGGGTCGTGGGTTGGGTCGGAGAAGTTGGACACACCAGGGTTAGGTTCGTGGGTTAGACGAGTCGTGGGTGGGTCGAGCTGGGTTTGTGGGTTAGACGGATCGTGGGTGGGTCGAGCTGGGTTTGTGGGTTAGACGGGTCATGGGTGGGTCGAGCTAGGTTCGTGGGTTAGACGGGTCAAGGTGGGTTAGTGAGTTAGGGTGGGTCGAAGGGTGGGTTAGTGGGTTAGGGTCGGGTGGGTTTGTGGGTTAGGTGGGTTAGGGTCGGGTGGGTTAGTGGGTTAGGGTCGGGTGGGTTTGTGGGTTAGGGTCGGGTGGGTTTGTGGGTTAGGGTCGGGTGGGTTCGTGGGTTAGGGTCGGGTGGGTTGTGTGGTGTTTTAATTTTTACAAAATTAACAATTTGATGGCTTGCTCTTAATTAAGATGCCTACGTATCCTTATATTATAAAATAAGGAATCAAAGCCAGCGTAGTTCTTATATTGTACTTCTTTTGAAATTTGGGGGGGGGGGCTTGGACCTATCTTTAGAAAACTAAAATTTAATTTTGCAATTAAATTGTAATTTTCGAAAAATAAGTTGCCTACGTATCCCGAAAGAATCAAAGCCCACGTAGTTCTTAGCGTACCTGATTTAGACTTTTCTAGCCACCCATGTTTGTTGCATCATCATCCCCGGAAGCTGCATCATCCGTTGACGACTCCAATATCATCACAGGATCATCTTCATCGTCTTCGTCTTCCTTTAAACCTTGAGTTCTTCTTTCAGCTTGATCCCAATCTTTCTTACAAACACAAATTTGAATGCTTTCCGGAGTTAAGCGAGATCTTTTTTCATCTAACACTCTTCTACCTGCACTAAAAGCAGACTCGGAAGCAACAGATGAAGCGGGAACTGCAAGTATATCTTTTGCAATTCTCGCCAATATAGGAAAACTTTTTTTATGTTCTTGCCACCATTTTATAATTTGAAAGTTGTTGTTGGTCTCATGTTGATATGACAAATAATCATTAATAGCAAGTGTTGAAGAAGATGATGATGAGAATGATGTAGATGCTTTGTGTTTTTTTTTTCATAACTTTATCAAGAAAACCAAATCTAGAATCGGAAGTGCTAGTAGTAGTTGGTGTTGCCAAATCAAAACCATAAATAGATGCATAATGATCATAAAGGTCTCCCAAAACAGATTTGCATTTGTTAATATATTCACTAACATCATAATCGATACTTAAACTTGTATAATAAAATTCTAAAAGATTTTCCAAACCTTCAGCTTTGACACCGGGGTCAAGAATAGCAGCAATTCCATAAATGATTGGAAATTCACTAAAATAAGTATGCCACTTACGTTTCATGCTATCAAGAACGGGACGAAGTCCATCAATCTTCATATGCTCTTCGATGGTGTGAACAACTTTAACACACTCAATTATGACTAAATGAACGTTAGGCTCATAAATATAAGAGAAAATATGAGTTGCACTATCAAAAGCATTTAAAACATCACGAACAAAAGAAGCATTAGTCCAATGACTTTCGGTTATTAACTCAGTAGGATCAACACGAGTCTCATTGTAAAGTTGGGTCAAAATATCACGATACTTTATAGCATCACTCAACAACTTGAAAGTAGAATTCCAACGGGTAGGGGTATCAATAGACCATTGTCTTTTCTTAAGACCTCTCTCTTTACACATAGCTATGTACTTTCTTCTAACTGACTGAGTAATCCTAATCCATTTTATAACTGTTCTAATTGGGTTTAGCAATGGTTGCAACTCAGCGAGACCCTCTTGAACAGACAAATTCAAAATATGAGCACAACATCTAACATGCAAGAGACTACCACCCAACAACAAATTCAACTCGGAGTCATTTTTCAAATAGTCAATACACTTTGTGTTTGCAGTTGCATTATCAAGAGACAAAGAAAAAACTTTATTATTCAAGTGAAATTCTTTTAAACAATCCAAAATACGAACTTTGATGTTAAAACCGGTATGCCTTTCTTCCATAGCTTGAAAACATAGTATACGTTTTTGAATAAACCAATCATCATCCACCCAATGAGCAGTAATGCAAAGAAAAGGTTCGCCAAAACTAGAAGTCCATGTATCACTTGTAAAACTAACACGACCATCAAAAGTACGAAATAATTCAATCAAACCACTCCTATACTTATAATAAGAAGTTTGTGTATAACGTCTTAGGGTATTTCGGGGGACACGAGTAAATGCAGGTTGTAATGCAACTTTATTAAAATGCTCAACGTTTGCATTTTCACCGTAACTAAAAGGGTATTCATTAGCAATAACTAAAGTACTCATTTCATCAATCATTCTATCTTTATTATAAATGAAAGGTGTACCTCCGCCGGGTTGGTTCATGTATCCACCCAATTGTGTTTGGACGCCACCCCCCGAAGGACGGGGGCCATTTTCGAACAAGTCGTGTTTATTTTGCAAATGCCGACTCAAGGTTCCGGTTCCATCTCCCGTTTTCCAATTATATGACTTGACATTTGCACCTAGCGCCTTGCAAACTAGGCATGTACACGTGAACCTCTTTGGTTGACCAGGTTGCCATCCCGGGGGTGTGACCTCAACTCGTTCAAAATGTTTCCACACCCAAGAAAAATGTGCTCGACCTCTACTTTCACCGCCACCACCTTTCATAAATCAAATTATTAAAATTAATTTTTAAATGCTATTCATGAAAATAAGCTTTTAAATTTTAAATATTTTAATTATACTTATTTAAACGCATTTTTCATGGTAATTAACTAATTGTAAATCATAGAAAATTGGAAACTAAACTAACTTTATAATCATTAATAATAGTTTTTTTAAATATTCATAACAATAAAAATTTAATTAGAAATTACCTTGAGATGAAGGTTGAGATGTTGGTTGCGATGGAGGTGGCATAGTTGAACTTGATGATTGGTGGGACTCGTGGGAGAAATGTTGTGGTGGAGACGTTTGAATATTTTGCCTATCTCCTAAACCATAATCTCCATATTCATTGACAAATTGGTTTAAATTTTCCGTATTAATTTCATACGAAAAATTTGCACCACCACTCCTTTGGCTACCACTTCGACCACCACTTTGACTCCTTCCCATTCCTCCTCTTGAGCTCATTTTTTTTTTGTATGATTACTAATTATAATATGGAGAAGAACTTTTTTTTTTTAGAATCTTAAGAATACTAATAATAATATTAAGGAGATTTTTTTTAACAAAAATATAACTCTATATAACACTTGAGAATTTGAGAACAATAAGAATTTTTAAGTAAGAGAGAAAGAAAGCTTGAATTTGTGTGGAAATTTGAGTGAAATGGAATTGGTATTTATAGGAAAAATAGAATGGATGATCATACACTTAAAAAACTAGTCGTTAGATACAAAAAACTAGCCGTTAGATACAAAAAACTAGCCGTTTTTTTTTTAAAATGGGTGTTAGGCCGTGCGGGTCGTGCGAATTGTGCGGGCTGTGCGGGCCCGTGCGGGCTGTGCGGGCCGTGCGGGTTGTGCCGGCCGTGCGGGTTGGGTGGGTCATGCGTGCGGGTTGGGTGGGTCATGCGTGCGGGTTAGGTGGGTTGGCTCGTGCGGGTTGGGTGGGTCATTCGTGCGGGTGGGCCGTGCGGGCTAGGTTGTGCCAGGTGGGTCGGGTTAGGTGGGTTCACGGGCTAGGTGTGTCGAATTAAATGAGTCAAAACGGGTTGTGCGATTTGGGTCGAATCAAACGGGTTAAACTGAGCTGGGTTGAAATGGGTTGTGTCGAAAATTTTGGACCCACGACACAACCCGGATTAAATCCGAGCTGTGCCGGATTGAAACCGGGTCGGACCCACGTGACCCACCAGCCGTGCGAGTTAGGGTGGGCTGGGTCCAACCCGGCCCACTGGCCACCTCTAGCCCTTGCCCATCTGGAAAGTTGGTATAGCTGCACAGTTTCATTTGAAGCATGGCATGCCAGGAGTAGATAGTTGCGAGGCTGTACCATCCATGCAAACCTCATGAATAATGCAGAGTAAACACACATTGCTGCAGACCGGAAAATGACAACATAAAAATCAAATTAAAAGGAATGCGCTTAAAACTTAGAATCAACAATGCAACAAAGCCAGAATTGTCAACCTGAAGTCATGTTGCCTGATATCTTTTCAGGGGGTTTATTCATGTCCACAAGCCCCTATATACTCCAGCAATCATACAAATAATTTCATTGGTAAACTTCAGATAAGAAATGCACATAAAATTATCCTTACATCTGAAGAGAAAATGTCAACAAGTCCAAAACAGAAGTTCAGAAGCATACAGCGACAACAAATCCCCAATTTGCAACAGGCCCCCAGAAATGAGTTGTTTTAGGGCCAATAGGGCTGTTCAAAAATGCACGGAATGTAGAAGCCATGAGTCGCCTGTACCAAGTACTCCCAGAATTAGTAAGATGCGTTTACATCAAAGAGTTACTTCTCTTAATAAGCAAGTCTAAAGTGCCACACTTAATCAAGAATCACCGCCTACAAGATCGAAAACATGAAAATCTAGTTTCACTACCTACAATTTATCCATCACCCTCTTTAATGCTTTTCCTACATCAAGTATTCCTTTCCACTTCCTTCAAGCTACAAACAGATTTTAAATAACATATCCAGCATAAAACCCGGGAAAACAAAAATCAAATCGGAAAAATCAACAGTTCTGTGTATTAATTTGATTACATCACACCTTCCTATAATCATAAACTCGGATACTGGCAATAAGGTACACAGACTACACACAGTTTTAGTCCGGCTGTCAAACACTCCAATTCCGAGTTCAACACAAACTCAATTAATCAAACTCAGTGATTTCATAGCTTAATAATAGCCTAATTACACCCAAAACGTCAGCTTCTTGTACTAAATTGGAGATTTTAAAGCTTAATAATAGCCTAGTTACACCCCCAAATTTCAGCTTCTTGTACTATATGGACCCAAAAACCATCTAACTCCAATAGAATCATATCTCCATCAAAATGGAAATATTTAGAGAATGAAAATTATCAAACAATATAATAGTTAAAAATACCCCACAATTTTGTTTGGACAGAAATAATATTAATCAGGTTCAATAATCAGAGAATGCTAATTCATACATACCAACAATTTCCATTGAAATCAATGGATTTTCAAACAATAAAATAGTAAACTTTAGAATAATTTCACCCCTTAATAGTGAGATAGAAACAGCAAAGAAGCAAGAAATGGTTAAAATTCAAGAATATAACTCAATTCCCACAAAAAATGATAAATATGTGCATCAAGTATCAAAATATAACAGCAATTTATGATCAAACACAAATTTAAGTATCAATAAAAAAATTAATACATTTTAGAAAAGGGTAGGAAAATCAACAAAATTCAAGAAAAAAAACGGCGCAGATGAAAGGGATTGATGAGAAAAAAGTAGAGAAGAATTGAGAGAAAGACATACCGAAGAGTTAATGAAAGATTGACGAAGGAGCAGCAATGCCAGGAGAAGAAATGAGGAGAGAGAATCTGGGAAATGGTCTTCCTCTTTTTCTCTGGAAATTTACTTTCTATTGTTTTAAAAAAAAAAAAACCTTGCAAAGTGCAAACATCAAAGAGAGCTATACTATAACCTTAGTTTAGTAATTAGCTGTTAGCTTATTGGTAAGAGTTGATTGTATCAGCTACTTTAATTAATTGATTAGCTGATTTGACTAATTTATTGGTAAGAGTTTATTATATAGAGTTGTTTGATAAAATTAGCATATTAATTGTAACTATTTGTTAGCTAAACACATAAAATGACAATTTAGGACACTGGCAATTTATTTTTACTTAGGGCCTGTTTTCTTCACCCTAATTTCAGTTCAGTTCTATTTAGATTTCCTTCTCTCATAAACAGTTCAGTTCAATTCAGCTCAGCTAAGTAAATCAAAATAGACCCTTACTAGGGTAAGAAAGTGGGTAGGCAAGAATGTGAATTAGTGTAACATTTTAAGATAAAATTATTTTAACTTTTACAAATTAGCTTATTCGCCTTAATCAGCTCATTGAATAAGCTAATTTAAGAAAAAAAAAATTCTTTTACCAAATAACCAAATTAGATGATCTATGTAGTCAAACATTTAATTTTGTCAAATAAGCTTATTTATGGTCAAAACTCTAATTACCAAACATGCCAATATCTTCTTGATAAACGTATGAAACATTTTATTTTTACGGGGCAATGTTGTAAGATTACTGGTAAAATCGCTTATTAAAATAGCATATTTTTTTTCTTTTCAAATACACTATTTACGGCTTATTTGACATTGTTGTTTGTTTTCGGTTTTTTTTTTTTCTTAAAAAAAAAAAAAAAAAAACCCCAAAGCCAGGAAACAAAAAAGGTGTTTTCAACTTTTAGTCATCAATTATCAAAATAATAATGATTTTATTAGTAGATTTGTTATGATAATATCTAAATAAGGATGACTATTATCCCATGTACAATCTAGAATATTCTAGAGTTGGGTATTTGGTCTTATCCATTGATGGAACCCTAGGAAATGTACATTATATATATCCAGTACTACATGGAATATGAAATACAACGTAAAAAATCTTCCCTCATCTCTCTTTATTTTCTCTTCCATATTTAACACGTTATCAGCACCATTGCTAGTCAACTGAGTAGGATTACCAAACATTTTTCTAGAATCCCATATTATTATTATCATGTAAGTATGATCATAGCCCATAACAATTATAATTTAACATTTATCTAATTTTGCATGCTTATTTATTGGAATATCAACATATATAACGAATACAGAGCATGATAAATAATTTAAGGTTCCATTCTTATTTTTCTCCATGCTAACGTTCTCATCTTCTATTTCGTTCTTATTTATGCATGACTTGTATCAGGATTATTTATGCATGATTATAACGTTTAGTACATATTTTGGATACTATTTATATATACTTATCTTTTAATATTATTTTGTATAGTGAAAAATGTCAAACCTTGCCAAGCTCGAATTTGTGGCCCTAGATATTACCGGAAAGAATTATTTATCATGGGTGTTAGATGCTGAAATACACCTAGATGCTAAAGGGCTTGGTGAAACAATAAAAGAGGCTAATAAGTCAACACCTCAAGATAAGGCTAAAGCCATGATTTTTCTTCGCCATCACCTCCATGGGCTCAAAAATGAATTTTTCAACTGTGAAAGACCCACAAATCCTTTGGAGTAATCTAAAGGAAATGTATGACCACCAAAAAACAGTGATACTCCCTAGAGCTCGTTATGAATGGTTGAATTTGAGATTGCAAGATTTTAAATCTGTTAGTGAATATAACTCAGCTATGTTTAAAATAACTTCTAAATTGAAATTATGTGGAGAAAATATTACTGATGCAGAAATGCTTGAAAAGACATACTCCACTTTCCATGCTAATAATATTGTCCTACAGACACAATATAGAGAAAAAGGTTTTAAAAAATATTTTGAATTAATATCTTGTCTTCTTGTGGCTGAGCAAAATAACGAGCTATTAATGAAAAATCATGAGTCACGTCCTACTGGCTCTACTCCATTCCCTGACAACCCATAACGGCAAAGAAACTAAAAACAGAGACCATTCCAACAGTAGTGGTAGAGGTAGAGGTCGTGGTCATGGCCAATGGCGCGGCCGGGGTCGTGGACGTGGATATGGTAGAGGTCGTGGAGGTCATTTCACAAACTCACATTCCCACCAGAAGTGGGAACGTAAGGATGAAAAAGAGAAAAGTGATAACAATATATGTTACCGTTGTGGAGGAAAAGGTCATTGGTCTCGGGTTTGTAGAACTCCAAAGCATCTTATTGAACTTTACCAAGAATCATTGAAGAAAGGAAAGAAAGTTGAGGCAAACCTTGTTCTTGAAGATGGTGAAGGTGATTTTGATTTTGGCAATGCCAATCAATTTGATGTTGGTGATTTCCTTACTTCCCCGGAAGGGAATAATTTTGATTTTGGCAGTACAACTCATTTGATTTCTTCACTGCCCCAGAAGGGAATAATTAAAATTATATTGTTTTATGTTAGTTTTAAGTATTAGACTTATGTTTGCTTATTCTAGTGATTTTTTTAAGTTTATTTCTTTCGTTGTAATAAGGATTTTTGCTTTATAAATTTATGAACTATTTGAGTGTTTTTATTGATTTATTTGTTTTATCATCTTTATTTTTATGCTTAATATTTTGACATGTATTTTATTTCATGAAGAACATGGATATTACTCAAGTTCAATTTGCTATGAATGGTGAAGAATTATGTCTTGCTGACAGTGCAACTACACATACAATACTTAAAAATAAAAAATATTTCTCTCATTTGATGATGAAAAGGATTAATGTAAGTACCATATCGGGTAGTACAAATATCATTGAGGGCTCCGGAAGAGCCACTATAAAGTTGCCTTGGGGAACTGAAATTAAAATAATTGATGTTTTATACTCCCCATTGTCTCAAAGAAATTTATTAAGTTTTAAGGATATTCGCAACAGTGGTTATCATATTGAGACAATCAATGAAGAAAATAACGAATTCCTTCAAATCACAAATATAACTCAAGGCTCAAAACATGTTTTGGAGAAACTACCTACATTCTCTAGTGGTTTGTACTACACAAAAATCAATGCTATTGAAGCTCATGCTATAGTAAACCAGAAGTTTACTGATGATTTTGTTGTTTGGCATGACCGGTTAGGCCATCCCGCTTCAATAATGATGTGAAAAATAATTACGAATTCATGTGGACATTCTTTGAAGAGCCAGCAGATTCTTCATAATAATTTTTCATGTGCTGCTTGCTCGGAAGGCAAGTTGATTATTTGCCCATCACCAACTAAAATTAATTTTGAATCAATTAGTTTTCTGGAACGTATACAAGGAGATATTTGTGGGCCCATACATCCCCCATGTGGACCATTTAGATATTTTATGGTTTTAATTGATGCATCAACTAGATGGCCACATGTGTCTTTGTTATCAACTCGTAACCAGGCGTTTGCGAGATTACTTCCCCAATTGATTAAGTTACGAGCACATTTTCTAGATACTCCCATTAAGACTATTCGGCTTGACAATGCTGGTGAATTTACATCTCAAGCTTTAATGATTATTGCATGTCCATTGGGATAAATGTTGAACATCCTGTAGCACATGTTCATACACAAAACGGTCTAGCAGAGTCATTAATAAAACGTATTCAGTTAATTGCTAGACCATTGCTTATGAAATCCAATCTCCCAATCTCTGCTTGGGGACATGCTATATTACATGCAACAGCACTAATTCGCATTAGGCCAACAAGTTATCACAAGTTCTCCCCATTACAATTGGTTTATGGTCAGGAACCAAATATATCCATCTAAGAATTTTTGGATGTGCGGTTTATGTTCCAATAGCTCCACCACAACGCACTAAGATGGGTCCTCAAAGGAGGTTGGGGATATATGTTGGGTTTGAATCCCCGTCAATAATTAAATATCTTGAGCCTACAACAGGGGATTTATTTACGGCTCGTTTTGCAGATTGTCATTTTAACGAGTCACTTTTCCCAACATTAGGGGGAGAAAAGAGAGAGAGCTGGAAAATGAAATTAAATGGAATGAATTATCATTATCCTATCTTGATCCTCAAACTAAACAATGTGAACTGGAAGTTCAAAAGATAATTCATTTACAAAGTTTAGCGAATCAATTGCCAGACTCGTTTGCTGACCCAAAAAGAGTGACCAAGTCACATATTCCAGTTGTTAATGCTCCATTTAAAATAGATGTCCCGGAAGGACAAAATAAAATTGCTAATGAGTCTAAACCACGCCGCCAGAAACGTGGAAGACCAATAGGTTCCAAAGATAAGAATCCTCGGAAAAGAAAAGGATCATTGATTGATGATGGTCAAATTGAAGAAACAATTTCCGAAGGATCTCCATAAGAGACTTTAGACATGATACAAGAAGAAATTCAGGTACCTGGTAATGAAGAAATTTCAATAAATTATATCATGTCTGGAATTACATGGAACCGAAATCAAATCGACGTCGATGATGTTTTTGCATGCAATGTAGCATTAGATGTTATGGATAATAATGAGGATCATGAACCAAAATCCATTGAAGAATGTAGACAAAGAAATGATTGGCCAAAATGGAAAGAAGCAATTGAAGCAGAATTAAAATCTCTTGGAAAAAGAGAAGTATTTGGACCAGTAGTCCGTACACCTGAAGGTGTAAAGCCAGTGGGATATAAATGGGTCTTTGTGCGAAAGAGAAATGAAAAAGGTGAAGTTGTAAGATATAAGGCACGCTTAGTTGCACAAGGATTCTCACAAAGACCTGGTATTGGTTATGAGGAGACATATTCTCCTGTGGTGGATGCAACTACTTTTAGATTTTTGATTAGTCTGGCAATAAGAGAAGGACTTGACTTATGTTTGATGGATGTTGTCACAACTTATTTATATCGCCCACTGGATAATGACATTTACATGAAGCTCCCAGAAGGATTCAAGCTGCCGGAAGCAGCAAAATCTAGTTCTCGAGAACATTCTGTATTAAATTAAACAAATCTCTTTATGGATTGAAACAATCTGGGCGTATGTGGTATAACCGTCTAAGTGAGTATTTGTTGAAAGAAGGTTATAAGAATGATCCTATCAGCCCATGTATTTTTATAAAGAAATTTGGATCAAGATTTGTTATAATTGCAGTGTATGTTGATGATTTAAATATCATTGGAACTCCTGAAGAGATTTCAGTGACTGTCAATTATTTAAAGAAAGAGTTTGAAATGAAAGATCTAGGAAAGACAAAATTCTGCTTGGGGTTACAAATAGAGCACCTAGAGAATGGAATCCTTGTGCATCAATCAACATACATAGAAAAGGTTCTTAAAAGATTTTCTTTGGATACAGCACATCCATTGAGCAGCCCTATGGTTGTAAGATCACTTGAAGTAGAGAAAGATCCATTCCGACCTCGGGAAAATGATGAAGAAATTCTTGGTCCTGAAGTACCATATCTTAGTGCAATTGGAGCACTAATGTACCTTGCAAGTCATACACGACCTGATATATCATTTTCAGTTAATTTATTAGCAAGGTTTAGTTCATGTCCAACCCGAAGGCATTGGAATGGGATTAAACATTTACTTCGTTACCTTCAAGGTACGAAGGATATGGGTTTATTTTTCCCAAAGTTGTCCAAAGAAAATTTGATTGGTTTTGCAGATGCAGGTTATTTATCTGATCCTCATAATGGTCGGTCACAAACTGGATATGTGTTCACATATGGTGGTACTGCCATTTCTTGGCGTTCCATGAAACAAACCATTGCAGCTACTTCTTCCAATCATTCTGAGATTTTAGCAATTCACGAGGCTAGTCATGAATGTGTATGGTTAAGGTCGGTAGTTCAACATATAAAAGAAGTTTGTGGTTTATCATCTGGGAAAGAGGCACCAACAACTTTATATGAGGATAACGCTGCTTGTATTGCTCAACTTAAGGAAGGATACATCAAAGGCGACAGAACAAAGCACATCTTACCCAAATTTTTCTTCACTCATGATCTTCAGAAGAATGGAGATATAAATGTATTGCATATTCGTTCAAGTGAGAATTTAGCAGACTTATTTACTAAGGCTCTTCCGACAGCAACATTCAAAAAGTTAGCTTACGGCATTGGATTGCGTCGTCTTAAAGATCTCAAGTGATGTAGTCATGAGGGGGAGTTAATGCGCGCTGCACTCTTTTTTCCTTAACCATGGTTTTTTCCCACTCGGTTTTCCTGGTAAGGTTTTTAACGAGGCAGCATATTATGCGCATTGTAGTGTATTATTTTGTACGTGTTTTGTAGTAAATGTTAGTTATTATTTTATTCAATATATAGTCATCCAAGGGGGAGTGTTATGATAATATCTAAATATGGATGACTATTATCCCATGTACAATCTAGAATATTCTAGAGTTGGGTATTTGGTCTTATCCATTGATGGGACCCTAGGAAATGTACATTATATATATCCAGTACTACATGGAATATGAAATACAACGTAAAAAATCTTCCCTCATCTCTCTTTATTTTCTCTTCCATATTTAACAAGATTAGGATTATAATGATTTGTAATTATGTGTAGTATTAATAATGTGTTAATGATTTTTAAGTGAGGGTATGTGGGTCATTTTGATATAAAAAACTTATTAACTAAGGATTTTTTTTTAATGAATTCTTAGCATCCAAATACAGTAGTTGTTGCAAATAACATTTTAACGGAGGAATACAATTGAATCACACAAGCCATCCTTGCCTCCCGGTGTATTTCAATTTTTGTTAACAACCAAATTTCGGTAACTATGTCTATCACCCAACTTTTAAATCATTCATAATATGAATTTGAGACATTTAAATAAGCAATTATATAAAATTTCTATGAACCAAATTAAAAGAAAAAAAAAAAGCGGATATTAAAGTTGTGGTAGATGTATAATGTTGCTTAAGTTAATTAGAATTTAGTAATATTACATTGAACTCGATTACTTTATTCCTTGTCTTGGTTGGTTGGGTTTCAATTTTTATATGGTGTAAGATATAATTATAATTTTTAATAAAATTCTAACATAATTTTCAATGTAAGGAACGATATTAATTAGCCAAAGTTAATTTATGATTTTTTTTCTTTTTGATTAATTGTCATTAATAATGTTTAAAAATCAATATTCACAACATAAGATCAAATTACCCTTATATCAATTAACCATGATATTTTTTTAGACCCAAAATCATATAATTGATAGATTAATGTGACCTATACTAATTAGCCTATCATACATTAAAATTCATACTACAACGATAAGAGTATTCAAATGTACAAATTGCACTACGGTTACACCACATACCAATAATCAACACTCGCGTTCAAGTCATATACTCCGTAACATCTAAAAATAGTAATATATACTCCTAATAAAGATTTATGAACCAAAACATTTGATCTTGAGTTGGCAAGAATCCACACATTTACTTCATATATGATTCCACCAATCTCACCTATTTATAGTCCCTCCAACAACTCCCAGATCCTTGCGCCTCCTCTTCCTCCACCTCCTCCACCTCGGCTTTCGCAATGGCGACGCCACTCGGGTGCTCCACCACCATCCTAACCCCACTCCTCAACTCCTCCGGCGCAGCAGACTACATCTGCCAGCAACTCACCACCAACACCGCCTTAACAACCGATGCAACCACCGCAATCAACGCCGTTTACCTACTTTTCTCAGCCTACCTAGTCTTCTCCATGCAACTCGGCTTCGCCATGCTTTGCGCTGGCTCAGTCCGCGCTAAAAACACCATGAACATCCTCCTCACCAACGTCCTCGACGCCGCTACCGGTGCTCTTTTCTTCTACCTCTTCGGTTTCGCCTTCGCTTTCGGCTCCCCATCAAACCCTTTCATAGGAAGCCGCTTCTTTGCGCTAACGTCAATGCCAGATTTTCACCAATCCTATGATTACAACTACTTTCTTTTTCAGTACTGCTTCGCTATCGCTGCAGCCGGGATCACTTCCGGCTCGATAGCGGAGCGTACTCAGTTCGTATCCTACTTGGCCTACTCGAGCCTACTAACGGGGTTCGTGTACCCCGTTGTGGCGCATTGGTTTTGGTCTAATGACGGGTGGGGGAGCGCCTTCATAACGTCGGAGAAGCTCTTGTTTGGGACGGGGGTTATCGACTTTGCCGGGTCAGGAGTAGTGCACTTGGTGGGAGCCGTGGCCGGGTTTTGGGGGGCGTTTATTGAAGGTCCGAGGATTGGGAGGTTTGATCATAAAGGTAAAGGGGTGCCCCTTAAAGGACATAATGCTTCATTGGTTGTGTTAGGGACTTTTTTGTTGTGGTTCGGGTGGTACGGGTTTAACCCGGGTTCGTTTTTGACCATTGCAAAGGCGTACGGCGAAAGCGGGGCGGTGTATGGGCAGTGGAGTGCCGTGGGGAGGACTGCTGTTACTACTACTCTTGCGGGTGCAACGGCTGCCCTCACTACTTTGTTTGGAAAAAGGTAATTTTCAATTTTCTGAATTTTGAGGTGTTTTTATTTTGGACTTGTGTTTCGTGCATAAATAAAATTTACAATAATAAGGGAATTTCATGCCAAATTATTATGATATGAGCATATTTTGAATTATCATACCGAATATTCAATAATGATTAGGCAATCAACCTATATAAGGTAAACATATCATGCGTATTGCGGTATTGCACTTATATATCATTATATCCTAATTTGAGGCATGATATTCATGCATTTTGGCTGGAATATTTCAATTATTAGGCTGGACAACTAACTTGTATAGGTTTAAATGTTATAACTAATATTCACAATTTGAGGGAATTGTCTAAATTGTTTATAATGTACAATTGTACAAAGTACATGAAAAAAATATGGTTTAGTCATCAAACATTTATAAGTTATAACATTGTACTTCTATTTTATAAAGTCCAAGTAAGAAAGAAAATTGATTAAAAAAAGTGGGTGAATATAAGAAAAAAATACTGATATACTGTAAAGTAAGAGAAGATAGTGAGATTAATATTGTGAGTTTAGCTGTTTAGAAGAGTACGATAGGAGTTTGTCAAAAATAGAATAAAAATTCTATGTTAAGAGAATTATAAAAGGGATAGACAAAAACGGAATATGTTTAAGACATTTCAACACAAGTGTAATACGGTATAAATTTCTAAACAAATACAAGTAGTGACTTTGTTTTGGGACCATATTTCTTCATATAAATTAGTGTTTTCTCCGCCAAATTCCTAATTATTATTTGGTTGCTTTATATACATTTTCAATACACTATTTTAATCATTAATACGGAGTATATGTTAGCATGTACTTGTATTAATTACAAATTAAGCTGCTATAGTTTTTTTTTAAAACAAGATGCTATAGTTTGTACAAGCCACCACATTGCCCTATTATTGACTTATTATTGCACAGGATACTAGTAGGACATTGGAACGTAACCGACGTATGCAACGGCCTACTCGGAGGATTCACCGCCATAACAGGTGGATGTGCAGTGGTAGACCCATGGGCAGCCTGCATATGTGGGGTGGTTGCAGCCATAGTCCTAATAACATGCAACATCCTAGCAGAAAAATTCAACTACGACGATCCCTTAGAAGCCCTACAACTCCACGGAGGGTGTGGTACATGGGGCATAATCTTCACAGCCTTGTTTGCCAAGAAAGAGTACCTCCAAGAAGTGTATCCGGCGCGCCCTGCCACCTCCTACGGCCTCCTAATGGGCGGTGGGGGGCGGCTCTTGGCGGCCCATGTTGTACAAATCTTGACCATATGTGCATGGGTTAGTGTAACAATGGGAAGTCTGTTTTTTGTGTTGCATAAGTTGAGATTGTTGAGGATTACGTCGGAAGATGAGATGAATGGAATGGATCTTACAAGTCATGGTGGATTTGCTTATAATGAAGATTTTGATGAGAAGACTAAAAAATGGTCTTCTTATATGGGTGGTGATGATCCTCCTGGTGTACAATTCCAAGCTTGATGAATTATATGATCTTGGAAGAAATACTTTGATTTGATTTATCATGTCCAATGTTTTTATAGTTTTAATTTAGTTGGGTGGTCTTCGTAAAAAAAAAAGAAAAAAAAAAAATTGTTGGGTGATCATGAAAATTTATTTAATTAGGGGTTGGATTGAAACATATTACAATGGATTTCTTAGTATTTGATTTTAGTTTGTGTACGTTAAATGACATGTATAGGATGAAGCTCATTTTTTATAGTACAACATACTACCTTCAATTCATTATAATTGCAGTCATTTACGGAGTATATATATTACAATATGATTTGTTGTAGGAAATTTTGACTTTAACCACCATGAAAAAACCACTTATTAACTTTTACCACCTTCATTTAAAAAAAAAAAAAAAAAAAAAAAAAAAAAAAAAAAAAAAGAGGCTGTATTTTAGCACCAACAAAATTTCCAAAATTGGGTTTTACCACCAACTAACGGATTCCGTCTATGAATTTGTTAGTAGGGCCCACCTTTTTGACATTTCCTCTTCATCTCCCCCGATCTTCCATGACAATCAATCGGGAACAAAATCAACTTCACCTCGTTTGGTCGGAATTTTGTGTGGGGCTATAGAGGGGTCGGAATTTCGTGTGGGGCTATAATTAAAGGGGTCGAAATCACGTGGTGGCTAGGGAGGAGGTCGAAATTTGGTGGTGGCTAAGCTAGGGTTTTAGGAATAATATTCGGAATTCGATAGGTAAAAAAAGGGTCGGAACTCGATGTAGGTGCTAAGGAGAGATGACATCGGAATTCGGTGTAGGTGCTTGGAGAGCTAGGGTCGGAATTCGATGAGAGGGGTCAAAAAGGGAAGGGGATCGAAGTTTGAGGTCGAAAAAAGGAGGAGAAGGGGCAGGTGAGGTCGGTGGTCATAAAAAGGAAGGGGAAGGGGAGGAGGAGAGGCCACCGGAAACAAAGGAGAAGAGGGGTTGCTTGAAAGGTAGGGGAAGGGGTTTGCCGGAAACAGACCGGCTATGTGGGCACTTGAGAGCTAGAGTCGGTCCGGCGATGGGGGCTTCAGAAGGGTTGCCGGCGGCTGGCTTGGATGGTTTTGATTTTATTAATATTCTATTTTTATTTATTTTTCTTTTTTTTTACACCCAATAATATGGTGACATGTGTACATGGCATGCCCCATTAACAGATTTATGAATGGAATCCGTTACTTGGGGTGATTGGTGGTAAAAGTCAACTTTAATATTTTTTTATTATGTGGTGGTAAAATAAAACTTTTTGTTTTTGTATGAATGTGGTAAAAACCAATAAGTGGTTATTTGGAGGTGGTAAAAGAGTCAAAATTTCGTTAATTTCCTTTGTTGTATGACTAAAATAATAAAAACAACAAAAAAAACAAAAAACCACAACAATGTCAAACGAACCCTTAATCAACTCTTTTTTAAAACCTTTCGCCTATGTTTCTAATTCAAATAATCGAGATTAAACTTTGTTGATAAAATTATGGAATAAATTCAATATATAATTTGCAATTGATTTCGTAATTAATTGAAATATCTTAATTTTGATGATGCGAAGGTGTACAACAATCTTATAAAAGCTGCTGAGATATTAGGAGTTGAGAAGACGAGGGAGATGTGATATAGGAGAAATTTGAGTATAGCTTGAATTTACCGATTTACTCGAGCTAGTTCCAGAAAAACACAGAGAAAAGAGAGGAAATTGTAACGGAATAGAGGGAGAAAGGAGAGAGAGAGAAAGAGAGAGAGAGAGAGAGAGAGAGATTAGGAGAGGAATCAATGTATGTATTTCTTAATAAGAAAAATTACATTGTTTCATTGTATTTAGCTCTACTAACAACCAAGCTAAAACAGAATTAGGGAATCTTACAGCTAAGCAACAAATAAGACAAAATAACAAAACAACTTGGCTAACTGAATTTCCCGCCAAAACTGATCCTTGCCACATACTATTATTTTCAGCTGTAACATACTCTCCCCCTTCAAAAAGACTTGCCCTCAAGTCTCAGGTAGATCAAAGCCAGGAAATTGAGCCACAAAATCTGACTTAGCCATCCAAGAGGCATCATGCCTAGGACTGTCCTGCCATTGAACCAAAACTTGCTCTTCCTGCTTCCCAGACACAGTCACGACTCTAGAATCCAACACAGCAGCAGGAACCAAAGAAGCAGCAGCCAAAGGAGTGTCTGCTGAATCTGGAATGACAGCCACCTGAGGTAAAGCCCCTCGAAATGATTTAAGTTGAATGAAATACATTGTGTATTTTGGCAGAACTCGGAAGATGAATTCTATAAGCAGCTTTACCAATGACTTCCACCACCTTAAAGGGACCATAATATTTTGCAGCAAGCTTGCAATTGCTCCTATGCTGAACTGTATTTTGTCTGTAAGGCTGCAACTTTAACTACACCCAATCATTCAGCTGAAATGTTCTTTCAGACCTGTGCTTATCAGCTGCATTTTCATCCTGTGTTGAGCTTTAGACAGATTAGCCTTAAGTAGCCCAAGGATTTCCTCCCTTTTCATCATGCACATGTGTGGGAGTTTATAGGTACTACGCAACGGAAATAAACATGAATCATATTCAATCTAGTACCAATCCCAAGAATCACATGCACAACACACAAGACACATAATCATACCTTTGACGCGTGAATTCCACGAAGCTATTCGACAGGAAAATCAGGGAGAGAATAGAGCCCCAAGCGTTGCTCCTCTACTTAGTCCATGAGATTCGAACGAGCCGTCCACCAATACTAGATTGGTCGAGTGATTGAGGAGAACCGCGATCACCACCTTTACGGACAACCGACCACCGCACGAACCACCACCACCACGACACACCACCGGCGCCTAGGAGGAGGAGAGAGCCGTGAGAGAGAGGACTATGAGAGGGGTTGGGTTTCGTGTTTGCTAATTAGGGTTTGATCACACTGATCAGTTAATTGCTTCCTTGCTGCAAACCTAGGCACCTAGTCTATTTATAATCTCATTATAATTAGACTAGGGCACGAAGCCCAAAACTCCCTTGTCCACTCCATATGGCCGGTCACCTAGAGTGATGAGGCCCGTGATGGGCCTCGTCCTCTAATTCTCGATCTAGCCCCTTTGTGTGACCTTATAGGATCCGTCCAATTGGGCTTTGGGCTATTTTACTAGTCCAAAGATCGTTAGTACCTCTAGCTATGGCAAAACGACGACCCAAATGTACGAACTTAATTATCTCCATAATTTGATCCAATTATATATCTAGTAATTGCACACGATGAAGACATAACTCCTTCAACTTGTCCACCAACTCATTGCTTGATTCACCAGGGAGATAAGGCAGATGCAAAGGAGGGGGCTGACAATAAACAGCCTCATAAGGTGACATGCCAGCAGCTGAGTGATAATGAGTGTTGTACCACAACTCTGCCATAGGCAAATATTTGCTCCATTCCCTAGGCTGATCACTTGTCATGCATCTGAGATAAGACTCCAAACACCTATTAACAACCTCAGTTTGTCCATCAGTCTCAGGGTGATAGGCAGAAGACAACAAGAACTCAGTGCCTTGCAGAGAAAACAAACCCTTCCAGAATTGACTTAAAAATATTAAATCTCTGTCACTTACTATACTCCTTGGCCAACCATGCAATTTGAACACATAATCTAAATAAATCTGAGCCACCCCAACAGCAGTATAAGGGTGCTTAAGAGCCATGAAATGGGCATATTTGGATAATCTGTCCACAACAACAAAAATAACATTCTTGCCCATGGATAAAGGAAGTCCAGAAATAAAATCCATTGAGATATCTGTTCAAATTTTCTCAGGGATAGGCAAAGGTTGCAGCATTCCAGGCTTTGCAGAAGTGTCATATTTAGAAGCTTGACAAATGACACATTTTCTAACAAAATGACTAACATCTTTAGTCATACCCTTCCAATGAAAAATACCCTGTAACCTTTTTAAAGTTTGATCCCTGCCTGAGTGTCCTGCTTCTAGAGAAGCATGTTGCCAAGTGATGAGTTTTGCCCTGAGAATAGGGTCAGGACCCACCAAAATTCTCCCCTGCTTCCTAAGTAGTCCATCCTGCAGGCTGAAATTAGGTATGGCCTCACCATTTTGCAATTTTGCCAAAATTGCCTTAAAATTGTCATCCAAGGTATAGCTAGCTATGCTGTAACATCTGAACTAAGTCAGAATCAATCAAAGATTTAGCCAATAACAAAATATCAGAACCTGGTTTCCTAGAAAGGGCATCAGCCACCAAATTATGTTTTCCAGATTTGAACTGGATTTCATAATCAAATCCCATGAGTTTGGAGAGCCAAAATTGTTGAAAAGGGGTAGAAATCTTCTGTTGTAGAAGCCATTTCAAACTTTTTTGATCAGTTTTCACCACAAAATGTGCCCCAGTCAGGTATTGCTCCCATTTCTGCACAACAAACACCATAGCCAGCAATTCTTTCTCAAAAACTAAGAGCTTCTGCCACTTAGGACCTAAAGAGTTGCTAATGAAAGCAATAGGATGTCCCACTTGCATTAAGACAGCACCTATACCATTTTTGGAAGCAACTGTTTCAACAACAAACTGTTGTGAAAAATCTGGAATAGCTAGAACTGGTGCTGTAACCAATGCTGACTTAAGTTCCTCAAAAGCCTGTTGAGCAGTATCACACCATTCAAAAGCCCCTTTCTTCAAGAGATCAATTAAAGGTTTACTTATGCAGGCATAATTCTTCACAAATCTCCTGTAATAACCAGCAAGTCCCAAAAAACTTCTCAACTCCTTGACTGTAGCAGAACAAGGCCAAGAACTGATTGCATTAACCTTATTTGGATCAGTTTCCACCCCATCTTTTGATATGAAATGCCCCAAGTATTCCACCTTGTGAGTGACAAAGGAACACTTACTCAACTTAGCATAAAGAGAATGTTGTTGCATTAAAGAAAACACAGCAGCCAAATGAGCCCAATGCTCATCAAGACTTTTGCTGTAGATAAGGATGTCATCAAAGAAAACTAGCACACATTTTCTAAGTAGAGTCTTGAAAACTGAATTCATCCAGCTTTGGAAAGAGGAAGGTGCATTTGTCAAGCCAAATGGCATGACCAAAAACTCATAGTGACCAGAGTGAGTCTTAAAAGCTGTCTTGAATACATCATTAGGATGAATTCTGAGTTGGTGATAGCCAGCTCTGAGGTCAAGCTTGCTTAAGACACAGGCACCAGACAATTCATCCACCAGTTCCTCCAAAATAGGGATAGGGAACTTATTTTTGATAGTTCTCTTATTTAACTCCCTGTAATCCACACAAAGCCTCCAGGTACCATCCTTCTTTCCCACCAAAACAACAGGTGAAGCAAAAGGACTGGCACTATCTTGAATGATACCTCTTTCCAGCATTTC